TCTCTGCATCTTTCAAGTATCATCTGAAAAGTTTTGCAAGTAAAACTTTTTGTTTGGAAAGTGTTTGCTTGATTGTTGATTGTTATTCTGTGTGCATGTACCCAGAGTCATTGGTACATGACTAGGTAGAAGATAGTTTGATTGTAGCTATAAGTGCTTTCTGTTGAAATACTTAGTTAGGTCAGATCACCTGTAAAATACAACTAATACCTTTAAATTTGTCTTTATTTATTGCTCCCTTATGTTAAAATAAAGGTCGAGATTAATTTGCCTTTGTTGCAGTTAATGTCCAGTGATGTAAATTGCACGACAAAAGAAGCAAAAGAAAGCAACATTTTTTTGTGCATGCTTGGTAATAACTTTCCCAATTTCTTGTGACCAGCAACTGAACTCTGAAAAGATAAATATCTTGGGAGCAATTCTGCTTGTACAATTCATTCTTTGGATTCCTGTGACTCCTGCGTGTGTGTATAAAAATATGCTTGTGTATATGTTATGTATGTATTTACATGTGTCTACAGGTGACTACATGTACATTTATGTATTAATGCATACATACATAGACATGTATGTATACATAATGCATAAATGCACATGTATTTACATGTACATTGGGACTGTTTTATTTCATCAAACGTTTGTACCTATTTGCTTAGTTAGGTCTAGGTGGTGACTTGTTTTTGTTGTTGTTTTGTGTGGGTTTTTTTGGCCAGGCAGTGTACTTTAGCAATAGCTGAAGTAGTTGATGAATTAAATTATTGTGTTTTATTACAGCTGGTGGTTATGTCTGAGCTATCCATCTGAAAACATGGTATGAATTTATGGGGCAGGAGTTCATTGTCCTTTTTGAGCATAAGATTATTGTGGTACAAAAAATATGTCTTTTGCATTTCGTGTTCATGTGTGTGATTTTGTTCTGCTATCATGTTTGAGATAAATAAATAAAATGTATTTGAATAATTATGCTCTAATTTTGTTTCTGTGGCTATTGTAACTTAATTTTTATTTTTTCCTGTTATGGATTTCCAGAACTTGCATGCTGTCTTTTCAGTCTAGTCACAGATCAAAATTCTTATGAACAGCTACGAGTTCAGATATTTATACTGGGGTGGGAGTTTTCCTTTCTTAACGCTCGCAACTGCTTCCTTTGCTATCTCACACAGCACCTTATTTGGTCTTTGGATTTGTGATGCTAAAAAAAGAGGAGGACCAACACTTGGAATGTTGTCACAGTTCTGCAGCAGAGCACAACCTTCTGATACACAGATGCAGAAAAAATATCTGTGCATTGTTAGAGAAAGATCAAACTTCTTTATAGCAAGCCTTTTCCTGAATCTCATCAAGTATCTCAAGATGTTCTTGCACAAGATCAGTGAAAAAAAAAACAGGAGAGGCCATATTTTGCTAAGTTTTCTTCAAAACCTTCCACATGGAAACATGTAAACTAAGGGCATGTCTGTTTACACTAGCCATTTGGACATTGTAAATACTCATGCATGTTTATACAATTTTTTGGGTCAACTGAAACAGCAATCTCCTCACACCATTCTTTTCCCTCTTCCAAACCTATCTAGAAATAGTGTAAAACGTTGACCTATCTTACTTATGGCAGACTACAGGGAGAATGTTCTCACCTGTAGGGATTCACAGTCAGTGTTACAGAATATTAACGGCAGAAATGTATCTGCTCCTCTAGAATTTATTCTGCTTTGGGTTGTGTCACACTTAGACATTTCAGATCAAATACTATAACTTTCTTAAACACACAACAGGTTATGACAGTAGGGGTGGGCAAATTGAATTTGGTTTTATCATAATATTTTGCAGTACTATTATAATAACAATAAATGTGAAAGTAAAACATTCCTTATTTCTTTTTTAGATAACTATAAGGCTGTAACTTTGTGACAGCAATTGTAGAACCACAAACACTTTTCTTGAAAAACATTCCATTTGTAACACGCATCTTTATGTAACAGCTTTTACATAAAGAAGCATTATTTGCATCACTAAACTGCACTCAGAAACTGTTTTCTGCTTTCATTTTACAGGCAGTGCAGAAAATAGTAAAACTATCAATCCCGACAATAAGGGCAGTTTGAGGGGGATTTAAAACATTATTAGTTGGAATTTATCATCACAAAATAAATTTTATCACAATAAATAAAATTCTTATTTTGATATGAAATTTGTTGTGATAAGTGATAAACAATACAATAAATGCTCAAACCTAAATGATAGCTTCAGTTTATGTTTCATGTTCTGTTATTGAAGTGTGCTGTACTTTTGTCATGTCTGTTTTTTTTATAGAAAAATTATTTGAGATTTTCTCTCTTTCTTGTGACTTAATGTTTTCCACATATAGCAGAGTTGTGGTTCTAGGTAGACTTCTGACCCACATGCACAATTTGCTCAGGTGGACAACAGTGCATTTTAAAGAGTTTACTTCTAAGAACAATGTAATCTTCTTGATCTGGAAGGATTCTCTCAGTGAGGGGAAAACAGGAACACACACCCAGAGGAACAGGAGAGAGGCAAGCTGAGAAAAGGATCCTGAAGGTGAGTAACTGGGGAGGATTCTGGCGTGAAACTACCAGGGAGGAATAAATAAAATCTGGGCGGCTGGCCTACGTTAGAGATAATCTTGACAGAAAGTGAAACAGATGGAATATAGGTTGGAAGAGGATGGACAGGTCATGGGAAGAAAAAGTGAGCATTACTAGTTTTGATCAAACCTTCCATGTTTTCACATATTGGTCACTATATGGGAGTTTAAGAGTTTAAATTCATAACATTCACATAACAACAAGACAGAATCCGGTAATGGTTACAAGTTTTGGACACATTTTTTCACTTTCTTACATCAAATATTATCCAAGAACACTGCTAAACAATGAGTGGATAGAATTATGTTCTACAAAGTAGCAATTAAAAAACCTGACTAATACAGAAAACAATTTAAAGGAACTTCATTTCATTACGCTTGATGTGGAAAACATCATACCCAATTTACACTGTATAAACAGCTCAGATGAACACAAGTATTCCTAAAGAACTTAACAGTTTGAATGCAAATAGAAAATATGAATTCAGTTGAAAATAGTCATTTTTACATGTTTAATTTTTCTTTCCTTCTGACATAATTGACACATTATCTGATTTGCTGTAGATGCATCAGCAGAATGATCACTCAGATTTAAGTCTATGAATAAAAATCTTGAAATACGATGAAGCAAACAGCATGCTGCAGTATAATATCCTGAAACTGGAACATTTCTGAAGAAATTTAAAAGGGATCTGCCAAAGAGTGTGTTCTGGTGCTGAAAATGAGCAACAATGCTAATATGAACTAAAATGTAGTCAGTAGCTTGTGGAGTATCATTGTTATGTTGAGTAACATGGACTTACTCTGTTCTGGATGACAACATTGGTGTCTATACTAAAATGAGCTTAAATGCTATCAGTAGCACATGTGGTATCAACAGGATTTTAATTTACATTGACTTAATCCATTGACTATGAAAAAACATAGCTAATAAATAATTTATCAAATCATTTATTAGCATTTCAGCTAATAAGCTGTTAGTTTAGGTTCAAGGATAATGTTAGCATGAGAATTACTAGCATATCAAATGACTAGCATTTTAATACTACCAGTAGGATGAGGACTATCACTAGCATATTAACTAACATAAAATTACTCCATTCAGAATGCAAAACATTAGTGTATAAGCTAAAAATTGTTATAATGCTATAATCTATTATCATCTATTACCATAGATGCTGTCATTAGAATGTGTGATATTAAAAATATGCTGACATACGCTACTTCCCAACCACAAAAGACCCACGAACTGGCAAGGAATGGATCTGCGACCCATTTGTCAACAAACCAGCTGAATCTAGCATGTCTGTGCAAGAAGAAGATCAGCTGCTGGAGATCGCAAATGACGGCGGACTTAAAAGTATGTTTGAGACAGCAACTCTGCCGGTGTTTTGGATTAAAGTCATGGCAGAATACCCTTACATCGCTACCACAGCACTGAAAACCCTGTTGCCATTTCCGACATCATATCTATGTGAAGCGGGGTTTTCTGCAGTGACAACAACCAAAACAAAACAACGAAATAGACTGAACATAAGCAACACACTTCGGGTGTCGTTGTCCCCCATTATTCCCAGATGGGACCGTCTCCTTGGAGACAAACAAGCTCAAGGCTCTCATTAATGTGTCGTTGTCAGGAGTTAAAATTTTCATTAAAATAAAATGTTCTTTATATTTGTTTTTGCGGCGTATCTGTATCTTATTTTGAAGGGATGTTTAAACGTTACGTCACCGCACTTTCTGATTGGCTACCTGTCACATTCCACGGGTTGCGTTCTAGCTTCCAGTCAGGGAAAACCCCACACGCGGTTACAGAGGATTATCAGTTAGGTAAAAAAAAAAAAAAAAAAAAAAAAAAAAAACCCGCCCCCACCGGTCCGCAGCAAAATTTCCGAGTCTTGACCGGTCCGCGGTAATAAAAAGGTTGGGGACCACTGGTTTATGAGATAAAATTAGCTTAAATTATAAGGTTAGCTTAACTCCTGTCAGTAGCACATGGGGCATCACTTGTATGTAGACTTACATTGACTTACTATATTCATTATGATAAACAAGGTAACACATTTTCAAAATCATCTAAAATGCTTACTTTAGCCATAGGACTAATGTTAGCATGAGCATTATTATTGTGCATGTTGAGCAACTAGCATGTAGACACTAGTTGGATGTATGTATTATCATCAGCATGTTGAGTAACATCAACGTACTCCATTCATTGTTTTGTAATGGTAACTTAAATGTGGTATCACTAGCAAAGTACTAGCATATTAACCCCACCATTAGAATCATGGAGTCTTGGTCCTAAGCCAATATCTCATTGAACAGTTCTCTCAACTTAAAATGTAGAGTAGGTAAAGAGCAGAGGCTTTTATTTTGAAATATTTAGTAAACTTCGTTTTAAAAAGCTACACCAATCCCATATGTAACAGTGGTTGCAGCAAAGTAGCAATTACCTGCTGCATAAAATATGAAGGCTTTTATTTTGTGGGTGCATTCTTTTCCATTGTAATTCAAAGCCATAGTTTGTTGCCATGTTTATCATGGAAATTGAAACGGCAACAGAAGTAATAACTCCCTTCTCGAGATGGGCAGCACGTTTTAATGTATATTTTGTGGGGTTGCACGCAGTGGTTTGGGCCGCATTAATGGTGACGTAATAAAAATAAATATTAGAGAGACCAAAGTGTAGAGTAAGAGGGCCCCAATAAGGGAATGATAATAGTTCTCTCATACTTGCTTGTTCATTTCTGAGTGTAGCAGAATTTTTTTTTTGCTATTTCATTGTTTTGTCTTTCAATCCCTGAGGCATTGAACTCAAGCCCTGTTCTTCCTCTTCATGCTCCTCTTCCTCCTCTTCTTTTTCTTCTGTGCAGCTCCTCATATGGCCCCAAAGAGGAGCCAGTCTCCCATCTCTTGTCACACTCATTGGCTGAATGATTTGGTCTCTGAATGAGAGAGAGAAAATACAAACAGAACATCTGTAAAGCTTCACAGCACATTTTCTACATTTTGTTGACAGGTCACCAGTGCATCGTAGGGCAACACAGAGACAGAAAGGACAAAATATAAGAATTTGAAATTAATACCATATTGAACAGCATTGATTTTTATTCATTTTTTTCTTTAGTTGAATTGTATGTGGCACAGCCTAACTGATCAAAATGCCAAACTTCATAATGAAAAACCTGAATTTGTTAATTAAACTAAAAAAAAAATCACTTGTACACACGTATTCACATCGTAGTCACTCGGTCAGCCTCCAGCCAGGTCCTTCAGACCCCAGAGATTCAGCTGCAGTCTCAAAGCTCCTTCGTCATTGCAAGCCTCCATACCATCACCACCCACCAAGGATCGAGCTCCTGTGGCCACCAGGCTCCAAGTTCCTGCACCATTGGGCGGTAATGGTCTCCATGCTCTGAGTTCCTTTGACACTGGCCTCTTGGACCTCTGCACCATCTTGGTTTAGTCGGTCCTTGTTTCAGTACTTTTTTTAATCCTGACACCATTGAGCTTTGCCAATTGACCTCTTGCTCACCTCTCTGACCAAGGTCTTGTTCTATGATTCCTCAGGTGGCCAGATGTAAAGGGGGTGTGGAGACATTGGGGGACACTGGTGGTTAAAAATTTCTTACATTTCATAAAACTTTTTATGGTTTTGTGGTGACCAAATTCTTTTCTCTAAGGGGCCAAAAGCGGAAAAGTTAAACTAGTGGTTTGTCACAAAATTCAATAAATTAAAAATGCAAAAACTTTCTTTTCTTTTCTTGTTTTACCTGCTTGATAGTAAACAATCTAACTAATTAATTCCCAAATACCTAAAACATCTAAAAGGTTTCATGCTGTTGTCTTATTTGAAGAAAAACATGCCATTAACAAATTTTTTGGGTCTTCAACTCAATTCCATTTTGTTGACTAAATTTTTACCATTTTTGAATTGTGGTCAAACAAAATCATTTCAACAGCCACACTTTGGACACCCCTGATCCTTTAGATCAATGGTCCCCAAACTATGGCCCACGGGCCGGATCCGGCCTGCCTCCGCATTTGGTGCAGCCCCCTGAACAATACCAAAGAGCATTTAGATTTTTTTTCATATACCGTATTTTCCGATTTATAAGCCGCTACTTTTTCCTAAGCTTTGAACCTTGCGGCTTATAACCCGGTGCAGCTTATATTTGGATTTTTCTTCAACCACCAGGAGGCTCTTTAGCAGGAAGTGAATCATTGGAAGTCAAAATTGGAAATAAAAGAAGAAAGCGCCCATTAAAACGGAATTAGGTTTTAATAGGAAATTGAAATTTGAGAATGTTGTTGATCAGTTAAACAGCATTGAGGGGAAAAAGAAGATTTTTATTTTTTTTTTTAAATAATACTGGGATCATTATGAGAATTTGAGGTATAGATATTAGGATCCAATAGATGGCAGTGGTGCAACAATAATGGATGCAAGCTGGTGTTGAGATCTAAAGATGAAGAAAGAAGAAAGAAGCGCCCATTTTCATTTAGCACATGCTAGTAGCAGACACGAAGGATCAGCACTTTTACTGTTACAGTTACCGTTTGGAAACTGCCGTAATCAGTTCAGTTAAATCTAAACTTGGCAAATTTTTGTTTTTCAACCGTAATAAATGTGATATTCAATTGACCTGTTATGACTCCGCCCCCCTCTGCTGCTGCTGCATCGTTGTGGAAAACCTACAGTCTGAGGCTTATAGTCCGGAAAATACGGTATTTATTTCATAAATAGTGTTATTTCCTGGATTTTTTCTGAGAAGAACCCAGAGAGAGTTATTTTATTTGCTTTCTGGAAAACAATAAATTTTTACATTTAGGCACTCCTGCAATCGTCACTCTTTTTCTGTTACAAACTGACTTTTCCCTTCCCACCAGAGAAGGGAAAAGTTATTTGGCCCTCACAGGAAAAAGTTTGGGGACCCCTGCTTTAGATCATCCTTTAGAT